CACGATCTCCTCATCAGACGAATAATTAACAGAAATGATTAGTATATATATATATATATATATATATATATATGTGTGTGTGTGTGTGTGTGTGTGTGTGTGTGTGTGTGTGTGTGTGTGTGTGTGTGTGTGTGTATGTATAAATGCATATATATATACATATAATATATATATATATATATATATATATATATATATATATATATATATATATATATATAATATATATATATATACATATATATATATATATATATATATATATATATATATATATATATATATATATATATATATGTACATATATATATGTACATACATATGTACATTGATACACATATAGATGTATATATGTATATATATACGTGTGTGTGTGTCTGTGTGTGTGAGTGTGTATTTATACACATATACATACAATTGTGGATAATGGCTGGTCGGCGCAAACCACGCTTTCTACTTGACATTGACCCTGGTTGGAGCCTCAAGGCGCTCAGGTTAGACCGCAAGGAAGTAGAGGACTTTTTTTGCAAGTACAACTGAGGAAACATATAGCAGTACATATTACATGCTGCACACACAAACACACACACACACACACACATGCATATATAATAAATGTGTATATAAATGTATATATATATTTATACATATATTTGTAGATAGATAGATAGACTGGTAGATGGACAGATATACATCTACATATACGGTGCATAAATACACACTATACATATACAATGACTGTAATATTAGTGGGGCTAGGTCGCAACCCTGTGCGTGTACAGTACACGGACAGATTGTTTGTAAGACCTCCGTATTTTTGTAAGCTTGTAGATTGATTGAATGAAATAGTTTTCAGCTGCGACTATGTAAAAATGTTATCCTATAATTATTGTTCGAGGAAGTATGTCCAAATATACCTAAAATCAACAAATCTAATTTGACAAAAGTAGACAATATATGGTAAAACGCTTGAAACACATACTGAGTAGTGGGGTGTTGGATCCGACAGAAGAGGTATCTTAAAGCCAGCTGCCATGCAAGATATGTAGATAGACAGTCGATTTGAAAATTACATATTCCTGCAGGTCACCATGTATAAACTTACTGATGATTGTCAAATGTAAAAGTATTAGAAATATGATGATAAACACATGTACAAAGCCCAGATATGCTCTCTAGTTAACATTAAATAAATGCATTCTGCCTTTCATGTAAAACTGTTATGTTCTTCCTTTCATGAAAACATGGTATGTATGTAGCCTCAAGACTGAAATGAAATGACCACAGAGCAAAAGTATTTAGGATTGAAATCTAAGATGATTTCGTTCAGCCATTTGTCCCATAACGAACGCGAACATGAAAAAAAAAATCCGACATGAATTACAGTGGCTACAATACAGCATAATGTCAGTCCAGTGTCAGTCATTACACAGCAGATGCGAATAACTGTTCGATTTGGCTTCCTCATGGCGCCGCACTATGGTCACTTTTAAAAAAAGCTTCTTAATAAGCAATAATAATTTTCACATCTCAAATCCTGTTTTTACACGTTTTCAGTGTTCTCAAATATTGCGATATAACACTGTCCAGTATCCGTATTCTTTATTGTATGTACCTTAAACAATAAGCATTTTTGCAAACAATGCATATGATGATGTCTTATATCATGATGGTGAGCTGTTTATTCTATTCAAAATGATTGTCAAGAGTAAACATACTTTGACAATAATAAAAAAACAAAACAAAACAAAAAAAACGGGAACACGTGATGCGTTTCTTCTGGCTGACTGATAACTCCAGACGAGGGGGGGTAGGCAAGGGGGAGGGGGGCAGTTGAGGTTTTAACAGCGGTAGCGACCTCTGAGATGGTGGGAGGCAAGGGACAATAGTTGCCATATCACCATTAAGTAATTAATAAGGGTCTAATGACTGGTGGGGGATACAGGAAGGGATGAGAAGGTGGGAACAATGGTAAATGAGCGATAGTGAAAATTCATTAGAAGTTCAAAGGGATCAAACAGATACGGTTTGCTTCTAGAAAGCCTGTTACAGGCAAGGAGAAGAAATTGGAAGAGAGCGTGTAGGCATAAAAGACGGTGGTGTTGGAAGTGGACAGGTAGCAGCAGGCCGAGTTGCCATTTTTAAATTCCGAGTCTTCAATTTCATCTATCAATGCGTGACCTTGATGCGTTCAGTCCTCTAATTACGATGCATCTATCAAAAAACGTGAAATATGATGAGTTCTAGCAAACAGCTTGCTTCATATGTATTGTTGTGCATGTGAGTAAAATTATGTGTGACTCTTTGTGCGTCTGACTGAAAAGAATTGCTAGCAACTCAATGTCAGCACAATTGCATTTTTTTTATTTGTTATCAAAGTCTAGAAATGTCTTTTGGTGATGTTGTTTACTGTCTTTGCAACAATAAGCCTAGTCATATGTTTCATCATATTAAATGAAAATACGCTTAATTCATTTCCAAATGATATGCAGACACATTT